AATCAGGACTTGCAAACAGCTTTCGCCTATACATTCATAGTGACAAGTAAGGATATGCTAAAAAATAAGTTCCACGTCTCTCTAACCAATGGTCAATGAAGGTCAAAATCTTTGCCTCAAGGGGGCATTTTCATAAAATCACTAATTTAAAATTTATAAAACTTAAAATTAGGGACGGGTTGCCACATATAGGTTTGAGATTTCCAAGATAATGTGTTGAATAACTAAGTTCTTTCAATGAAGTAAGACTTGTTCAAAAAGTCATAAGGATAGAAGTTGTTTGATAATAAATAGGGGGAATAAATGTGATGTTAACAAGGTGGGTCAACGGTGTATTCTACTTCTTGCATTCTGTGGAATCCCAAGTAAAATTTGAGAATTGATGCCAAAGGTAAATATCCTCAAAACATAATATACTGCTACCCAACTCTACTACACGAACTAAAAGGTCTTCATAGTTTTCTTGACACTCAAATCACTCCAACAGAGAGATATCATCTCATCTTTTGATTATATTGTCTATCGGTGGAAGTGATCGAGAGGTGGCTAGTCGAAGAAGTTTTGATTACCTAAATAGGTAATATGGTTAACATAACCGTGAGTTTACTGTCTTAATACAAAGTTTGCCCCTAACTTTCCGAGATTTAGTTTCTTAGGCTCCAGCAGTAACTGTTAGTCAGTCTATTATTAAAGAACTTGTACTAGGAACTAGTGCCATAATTCTAGGGAAAATACTTACTACTTATGGGATTTCTACTGACCGTAGATATAACAATTCTTACTCCCGTGCCAATGCTCATCAAAATGATGAGTATAACACCAAAAGTAATGTGGGAAATTAGTATTGATTGGAGTGTTCTAAAGTCGAAAAATAAAATTTTCTAGTAATCTACTTTAGAATGGACTTAAACAGAAGTCAATCTTCATCCTAAAGATCCGGAATGATCCCTAACATGTTTGGAAAAATTTGTGCTATCAGGGACCAAAAGTGATTATCCCAAAATGTTTTTTTCGTCGAGTGCTACCCCTGTAACACCACATTCTCACTCGAGACATTTTTGGAAATTTCGATGAAAACTAGAACTTCGTAAGGATTCTGGTAAGTGAAACATTAACGGGTATTGCCAAGGAATCAAGATTATTTATGGTCTCCTAACTCGAAAAGATTGGAAGAAATGACAAGATAGTAAGGTAGGAAATTCTCCCCCCCTCGGGGATACACAACTATCAATATAGTAGCCCTGCTTTAAGGCCATCAACTTATCTCAAATATACATCTTTCCTTGGCAGGGAAATTCTTCCCTTATAATTTAGAGGTGTTTGCCAAAATGATCTTCTAAAACGTCGACAAGTCGATAAAACTGCCCAAAACTTAGGAAAAGCTAACACATTTTTCATATTCGACAAGGTGGCAAGCTTCAGAAATTAGGTTCAAGAATCAAGAATGCTTACATCACGCGTGTGATGAACGCAATACTGCCTAACTTATGCTCTGACACCAAACAAACACATCCCGACCCGGATTGTCCACTAGGACTCTGAATCGAGTTATGATGGCCAACACCTGGAAGGTGACAAAGCCATAAAGTGTAGTGATGTGGAATATATGAATAAATTTAAACCTAAAAGTGTCTAAATACAAGAATGCGCTGTGAGTGGAAATGAACACATTTCACACGTGACTTCAGAGCATAAGTAAAGTATAGTAGAGTGGATTGAGAATCATACCATCGAAGGTAATCTCCAATACCAAGATTTGCCACGAATCCTCGTCAATAAGAAAACTCAGCTATTAAAACCTGTAGGGGTGAAAACAAAACAAGGGTGAGTGGGCCTGAAAATAAAGTTTTAATAAAGACATTCTAAAACGTTATAACCCCTCGCTGTAAAACCTGTATAGTTTCCAGAAAATCATACCATGTATAAGTATGAAATCAAATGTAAATCCGTAAATATTCCAAATCATTACATATCAGCAGTATAATAAAATCAGATGCTCATCAACCTATGCTGACACACGAGTCAGAGTTGCCTAACGTAACATGTACGACTCATAAATCAATCTATGATAACACATGAGTTGGTGTTGCCTAATGCAACCTGTACGACTCATAGGCAACCTGTATGATAGTGTCGGAGTTTCCTATTGCAACCTGTATGACAATGTCGGAGTTGCCTATTATTGCAACTTGTACGACAGTGTCGGAGTTGCATATAACACAAATCTAGTCATGCCATAACTCAATCATTTCAAATAACACAATTAACTCACCTGAACTTACCTGCACGTCCCTCGTTCACCTTAACACTTCAAAGCATTCACAGTAATTGTATGTAGGTAATATGCGTATTGATATACCATGATGCAATCTAAAACTCAACCATATCATAGTATTTTAGAATATATAAATATATATGACATGGCATAAAATGCATAAATCAATTTAAAAGCACGTGTGGAATTATCAATCATATATATATATATATATAATAAAAATGAAAAGACCCATTCACTTGAGGTCCGCACTACGACTCCCTAGTACGAATATCGAGACATCATGAACCGTCGTCGCCTATAACAATTATCAAATCACGTCTCAGAGTTCTTATCGATAGAACACGTAACTTACATAAACATATCCCCAAGGACATTCTAGAATGATTTGTAACTCATTGACCAAAAGTCAACCGTCGATCAAAGGTCGACGGTAGGGTTCATAACCCTACATAACTCAATCCAGAAGATTTGCACCTCGGATTTTCAATCTGTAACTTCCAGAGATACACATTATGCTTCTAGAATAACATACTAAAATCTTACCACGATCCGACGGTCGGATCTCTGTCAATTGCCAAAATTAAGTGACGGCCGACGTTTTATTTTATAACTTACAAATCCAATTCAGTAAGATCCGTATGTTAGATTCCCGATCCATAATTTCCTATGGTTCTAAAATATTACGTATTATAACGTATTAAAGTTTGGTGGCGATCCAACGGTTGGATCATCGATTCATAAAATGGTCAAGCGACGAACCTTAATAGAACTAGGTTCAAACGACAGAAATTCGTCAATCGGACTTCACATATGGAATTGGAGAGTCAAATTTAGCTTATGAAGGTTAAGGGATGCTTCGACCACGCGCCGACGTACAGGGCAGTCGGCCGCCCCGACTCGTTGGAAAATCCAACTATTTATAAAAATTCTCAAACTTCACATAAATGAAGATCTCAATGAGTAGAGCAAGTTTATACCTGTGACTAAGGCCAATTTGGCCGGGAAAATCCCTAATTTCACTAAAACCCGTCTGAACCCTAGATTAGGTGGCTTTCGATTCGATTTCTCAAGTGCTCCACTATCTCCAAAGTTGTTTGGGCTTTGATCTAGGCCTCAAGGGGAGTCTAATGATGGTGGTAATTGGAGGGAATTGTTTCACAAATGGTGGTTCTCGCCGCCGTGGCTTCAGGACACACATGATAAAATTCGTCGTGCAACGGGACCAATCCGCTCGAATATGTGGTGATCAATGAAGGAGGAGGGACGTGATAATGTCTGCAGGCGTTGGAGGATCCTAATTCACTGGGAAAAATGGTGGAGATCATTGGAAAAAGGCTCGGGGAGGCCAGGTCACAAAAAGGATGTCGGATACAAAGATGGGCTCCAGTTCGTTGGGTCTCTCTCCTCTCATTTCCCTTCTTTTCTTCTCTTCCTGATTGGGCAGCTTCTTCCTCTTCCCTCTCCTAATTCGTCCATCCCCCTCATTTTCTCTCATGTTACTCTTCTCTCCTCATTTGATTGGGCAGCTCTGCCCAATCCTTCTCCTCTATTTCTCCTCATCCCCGATTCCATTATATTCTCCTATCAGCCACACACATGTGGCGTAATAATTTAGTAGTATAAAATATTATAATATAATTAAAATAGTGATTTCTTCAAAGTACTTTCTGGTTCGTAGCTCCGTGAAACTTTAACTATAACTCCAAATCCACTTCTATTTATGCTTACGCGTTCGTATCGTCTAGTACTTCAAGAATACGCTAAAAAATATTTAGTACGTTTCACTATATGTTGGTCAACGAAAGTCAAAACCTTCACCTCTAGGGCATTTTTGTAAATTCACACTTTTAAAATTTATAAAATCGTAGAACTAGGGATGGGTTGTCACATGCAAAAGAGAGGATATGGTGTAATTAAATAGGCTTCGATAAAAATCTTGTTGGAAATTTCAACCCGATTGAAGGAAAAAAAGTGTCTTGCACCAATATTACATAGTTAAACTCTCCTCCAAAATTAGGTCTAAGTTTACAATTCTTCAAACCAAACTCTTCATTTATCTAACATGAGTCCCATTCACGCCAGTCTCTGAGCCACCTTATTTGCCTCCGTCAGGTATGGAAAAGTTTTGTTCGAGATATTGAACGTAGAAAATAGCACGTATCTTTCACCACATGACCCATCGAAAACGTGTCATCTGCTGCATGAACGTTTAGAGCCGCGAGGATCATCCTTACATCCCCCTCAAATTCAGCATTCGAAAATAATCAAATTTAAGATTTTTCACTTAAAGTGAAAAGGTATACCACAAGACCTAATACTAAGTGGCACCTTAGAATAATATTATTAAAGAAAATGTTAGCTAAAATAATATTCTTTGGTTACAATTACAACAATGTGCGAATTTTTCTCCCCTCAATATAATGAATTTAATATAAATACCGCTTGTACACCAAAAATGATATTTTTCAAGTTTTGACCATCTGATAAAATGAGAGAGGAAACAATCAAACTCGAATGCAAAATAAATATTGGTAAGCTAGAAGCCCTTGCAACAATTCTCAATCTAAAAAATTAATTTAACGGCACATTTTTTCTTATACAGGCCATAATGTAAAAGTGAGAAATCGATCTCGATACCTCTAGTACAAAGGTGAGCTAAAAAAAAAAAAAAAAAAAAAAAAAGAAAAACCTCCTAGAAATTTAAGGTAAGGATATTTAGGTAATTATACCATGTAATAAACCCTAATTATTTTCTCCTTCCAGTCATAAGCGCTCACCTCCCTCTCCGACTCTCTGCGTTCTGTCTCCCCCCCCCCTCTTTCTTTCTCTCCATTGCCGGCGGCCGGAATTGCAGTTCCCCACTTTGCAGAGTCACAGGTATTTAGCTTACCCCAAATTCCTCAAACTTGCCCCTTTTGTCTGTTTTACTTATTGGAAAATCAGAAGCCAGTTCATGCAATTATGCAAACGAAAGTTGGAATTGTTCTTTCATCCCTGTTTATGCACTCTGTCTGTAGCTCTGCGTTTGTAATTTTGATCCGTAATCATATTAGCTGTGGATTTGTTTAATCAATTTTGCCATTTCATTTTATTGATATGCCTTGTAAATTTTGCTGAAAACTCATCTTAATTTGTCTCCTTAGCTTCCTTTTCAGATGTATTTAGCCAATGTTTCTGGGTTTAGACTGCCATGTTTGGGTTGGTACATTTTTCCGCAACACGATCAAGCGAAAACACCAAACATTTATGCCTAATTTGGTATTAGTTTGTGGTTTCAGGTCGTCAGGAAAAACCGTAGAGAACCACTCTCTGGACTTTAGGCTAAGATAGTGAGAGAGATGAGGCTGCTAACCCACAACATGCTATCATCCAACATCAAAGGCGTGACCAACGGCTTCCCTCTGCGCATTGAAATCGAGAAGGTGGTCGAAAAGCAGGTTGAATTCAACCCCGACTTCCTCAAGAACATGTTCCCTAAGATCGAGTGGAAGGCACTTGTCAATGCCTCTCATAGTATGGGGTATGTTGAGCTCCCTGAGGAGGTTGAGCCTTCTAGGCTTGATTCTGAAGATTTTCTTCACAAGTTCCATCACGCCCTTTTGGAGCTTCATCTCGAGGAGGGGGCGCTTGTCTGCCCTGAGACTGGTCGCCGCTTTCCAGTGAGCAAGGGCATACCCAATATGCTACTTCATGAAGACGAAGTGTGATTCGCGTCAGATGGTGGATCGGACTTGCCATTGCTCTTCTTGTACTTACTAAAACTTAGGGTTTATGTACCGCAGATTTTGGCATTATGAAATGGAATATGCTTTCGTTTTGTTTAGTTATGTGTTGAAAACCATTTTAGCATTGAGGATTGTTGAATGTACTAGTAGAAGAATCATGTAGAACTAGCATCCACTCCTAAACATGCAACCGAGTTCAAATCCCCAAATTTGGATCCCATCCGGATTCTCATTGTGAGGATCCCTTGTCCGTTCATTGTACATTGGATGGTCAAAAATCATTTTGAATTTGTTTATTTAAAACTAAACGCAAATTGTAGCTAACGAAAGCTGGTCGCACGATGTACGATGAACATATAAGATATGAGAATCCTAGGACGCTCACAAAGAGGATCCGTAGAGGATCCTTATCCCAATTCCCCCTCCCAGCATTTTAGATAAGACTGAAAAGTAACATCGCGTGTATTCGTGCGGAATATGATGCAACTCAGTGTGTCAAAATCGCTAAGTATAAATCAATGCCCTACAACTTTAGTAACAAAATGGGAGAGTTATGGTACATAACTTCCTTCCATTCTGTTTGGAGGAAATGCAAAAGGAAATCTCTAACAAAATGACTTTAAACCGAAAATGCTGTAGACACTACTTCCTAACTGTTTTTGCAGCGAGGGGTTTCACAAGATGGAGGTGGGACGCCGAAAACCCAATCGAGAACATTCAAGTATTTGGATCTGAAAACTTCTCTCTCTTGTGCATAGCAATGCATTATGATTGCTGTTGATAAGCTGAAGATTACTACGTCAGCTCTCTTCAATTTTGTTGAAGGCGGCAAGTACCCGGTATCAGCCATGCAGGTGAAAAAGCTCTCGATGGCCCGAGCAAAACAGTAGAGTGAAATCTCAATCCGCCTGCTTTTCTTCTCAATGGCCAAGGCTAGACCAGTCGGGAACTGCCCAACAACACAATTGAGACGCCTTGAGCAAACATATAAAGTTTATCTTGGTACCGAATTTAAAGAGTTGAAGAAAGTTCATACCGTCCCCATTGCGACCATTGGTATGTTACACCTCCTGAAAATCCTAAACAGAAAGCACGTCCACGCCCTGGAGAGAAATATTAAAAATAAATTTTCTCAACATAATTAGAAGTGATTATTTTTTTGGGTCTGTCAGTTAGAAACGACAAGTATCGATAATGTGAAAATACAATGATGCACCATTTTGAATAAAGTTACAAGTATCGAATCCCAGTTCATGAAGCAGGTTGAGGGGATTTCGGGGCAGGCAAACAATGTGCCTGACCAATTTACTAGCTGAGTCTATTTCAGTATGTTTCCCAACATCACTATGTATAACAACGTATTGATACCTTGAAAAATCAGATTCTAAAAAATTTATCGAAACTTTATTGTGGATAACAGAGAAGGAAAAAGAGACAGGCACAAACATACCTTATTAATCTAGTCTCCTAAAGGGTCCAAAATATTTCATCTGGTATAGTCAATCTCTAACAGAACACGTGTTTTAAGTTTCCCATGTGGCATCGCATGAATTGTTTAAGTGCTGCCACCTTGGCATCCTCGTTTCATGTGAGTCATTGTCCTAGTCTTGAGTTCCTTCGGTATCCTATGCTTAAAAGATTTAATACTGCGTTTCATTTCCAGTTTCATCAGTTCCTACATCAGGTCTTGATACCTTAAGATTAATTATGCCCCATGAAAAATTGTCTAAGGAGAAACAATGTTGAACACTTATGACGGGTATAAGGAAAGACCTAGGTTTTAATAAACGAATCTGGACACTACTCAGGTTCTCATTTACATCTTTCCTAGTAGCAACGTTCATGTAAATGGTACCATCAGAATGCAAGATAGAAGAAAGTAGCTGCTAACCAGGCAGATGAGCAATATACGGATAGAAACAAGCTCGATCTTGCAGTACCAAGAAGGCCCTTTAGTAGTATAGAGTAATGCCTGCATATAAACAGCAATCATAAGAGCACAAACAGAAGCTAAGATTACATTAACATGCACACACACACACACACACACACATATATATATATATATATATATCCAGTTTGAATACTTTAAAAGAAACTCAATCATGACAAGATTATCAAAATGCAATTTGCATTTATGTACATATCAAATTAATTATGGTAAGACACATCTCCCCAGTTAAATTCAATTTTGTTTTCTTGGAAACTTCAACTAGAAGAAGAAAGCACTTGATCACATCTACTTAAAGCATCACGGGTATATGAAAAAATGATCAAGTAGGTAAATCATATGAATCACCTTTTCAAGAGATCTTGGCGATGAACTATAAGGGCCGGAATCAGATACACTGGAAGATAAACCGGCAATGCTCTCTTATAGGCTTGAATAAGGAAAGAAAGAACATGTCCACTACATGACTGATCTCCATGAACAATCTGCATGAATTTGAGAGCTTAAGACTTCAAATCATAAAGAAATAAGTTAAGGAAGTTTAAATAATTATGATATGAATGAGAAACAAATTTAAATTGCTTTCACATGATAGGTAGGAAAAAGAAGTATTATGATAATTGAAGAATGCATACCGAGCAGGGAACTTGCATGCCTGGATCTAGTTTAATATTTTTCCCAATGGATTTGTAATGCTTTTCTATTGCTTCCAAATTAGTAAAAGGTATGCCCCTTGCAATCTCTTTTACACCTTGCAATATTACGGTATCCTTTCCTCCGTGTTTATTGAGAAAGGATTTGTATGATGGAGGTAAACTTTCCTGCTTCAATATGTAAGCAGACCTGAGAAATGAAATTTTCCTCCTCTTAGTTGTAGTACAGTCTAAAGTTAACGATAATCAGAAACAATTCACAAGTTTGATAATCTATAAAACACTGAAAAGACATTTCTAATTTGATACGAATGAATGTGACACCACAACCGAAAAGGACATAAAGTTAAATGAGCCAACTACAATATCCCTCAACTTTTTAGTAGATTTGGTGAGCAGTCACCAGAGTAGCAAAATCTTCTTTGATGATCAGTGATATGGACTCACAAACAGATACAAAAGTGATGTCAGTTTCATTGATTTCCACATACAAGTATACATGGAACTGACGGAAGTGCATTTCCATCTTTGACACAACCCTTGACATGGAAATGGGAAAAAAACAATCCATGTCAAAACATTCAAGGCTTCGCTAACAAAATATTACACAGTTTACAGTAAAGGGTGCGTACAGAATTTGCGAAGAGGAGAGGCACATAAGGAAAATGTCACCATGAGCCCAGGTGAGAGGTTTACAAATGCTACCAAACCGTTTGCTTTTGATCCCACACCGCGACGCCAACACAGCAGCGCGCATAAGAATGTATATGGCCAAGCTCGTATGCTGGGTGTTCAGTCCGGTAAGAAGCATAGACGGCCCTGCTATAGCACCTGCCAACAAAGCCCTCCATTTGGCTGTCCTGAACTAGAATAAACCAAACACATCAATTAAATCAGAGCAAACAGAAATCGAATCCAACCCGAAAAAAATAAGAAGTTGAATCATGGAAGAGCAAGGAACTTGCCTACGGTGACCTGCCAACGAACCAATAATCTCGTCCACCGAAACAAATGTGCCGGCAAAAGTTCCGAGAAATAAACCATATCTCAATGTCTCCTTCAAAGCGGTAACAATTGCTTCTCTATTTGTGATCACACCCTCCGTCCTGAATAATTAATCAGAATTTAACTCAAATTACCATAATTAAACAAAATTACACTTAAATTCCGGATTTTAGAGAATTCGAAGCTGGGTGAGCTTTTCACCTGAGAGAGGCTAAGAGCTTCCGTCGTCTCAGACGAGCTAGGATCGAGAAAATGGCTAGGCCGCCCTTGAGGCCGGCGCCGATCGTGAATCCCTTGACCGAAGCAGTCACGACTCTCCGTAGCTTCTCGGAGTCACTCAACGGCGCCGAAACGTATCCGAGCGAGGAAGAATAGTAAAGCGACGAGGGTGAAGGATCGGACTTCCTGTAATGCGTACAGTTGGGATCGGCGGATCCGTGGCGGTCGCCATCGGGGCCACCATTTCCTCCGGCGAAGCACGTGCAGAGGTCGCGGTCCGGCAGCATCGCGGCGAACGAGTAAGGGCTTTGAATGCAGGAATGGGGCTGCGAAGCCGAAGACGATTCGGAGTAGAGGACGGAGAAGGGAGGGCTTTGCGATAATGCACAGGGCGAGCCAGAGACGCACAAGCGTCCGACAGTTTAGGTGGTTTGAACTTTGAAATGATGACGTCATTTGTTCTCCTTTCTTTTTTTGTATTAATTATTTATTACCTTTTTAAGAGGTTTCGTCTTGTTGGGAGATTGAGAAATAATTGTATAAGAAAATCATGGTTGTTAGGTTTGGTTAGCTATACCTTTACACATTCCAACATGTAGCGTTTTGATGACATAGAAGAATATATACCTGAAAATGATATCTCCATCATCTGTCCAAAAAGCACAAAAAAATACCGAAAATTCTACCATAGCGGTGGTAACGAGTTAGAATCATAATAGGACCAACATTCGATTCTCACATGTGTAACTAAAAAGAATTTATAATCTTGGACACATAATAGCGAATAAGAATATACCAGTAGCATTTAGGAATAGTAAATTTACTACGGTGTACCACATACCACAAATTCTTCCGCAATTCCTCATTAATCACTACAGGACCGTTTGGTGAGCTGGATGAGATAGATTGCGATCAATTAAAATGGATTTAAGTCCACTCCGTTGTTTGTTGTGTCAAATGTGAGATGAACAAGACAAAAAATGATGGGTTATAACTCAATAGAGTTAGTTATCTAACCTATCCTTATACATAGATTACAAGTTATATCTTACACGTCCTTGCCAATCTAACCTTATCCCTAAAGCCTAATCTCATCCAGCCCACCAAACGAGCTCACAAGGATACCATAAAAAAATCAAAGTCCCAAGGTAAAATGGAACAAAAAGTGATGACAACCCAATTGTTACAACAAGTAAATGAGAATGTGATAGCAAACATGTATAAAGTAGCACCAAAATATTGCTATTTCCTGACTAGAATACGATTCTTGAAATTGAAAGTTCGGCAGTGAACAAAGGGTTAGATTTGCAAATGAGTTAGTATGAATTGAGCAAAGATTCAGCTATGGAGTATTTTCCTTCCTTCCGCAATACATGAAGCTTGTGGGAACATAAGTGGTAATGCAAAAGAGTAATCCTAGGTGGACCCATTTTTTAGACCATATTTGCAAACCATGTGATGTGTCTGTCAGTGGCACCAATAGGGTATAAGCTCGTTAATCAACACTTAATAATAATCCGATAATCAACAACCACGTCATACGGTTTAAATTGATGATTTCACTAGCATTACTCAATGCAAAAATCACTATAATCCTACCATTCTGAATTTATAGCAAGTGCTCCTCCGAGCTTGCCATGAAACCTCCAATCATATACCTTCAGACATACCCATTGTATCTCTTCATTCTACCTTGAGAACAATCTTCATAAACTCATAGACGAAGTAACTTATTGCAGCTGAAGGAAGTACCTGAGTATGCAAAACACCAAAGATAAGAACAAAGACATAACCTTAATGCTTGAAATTTGAGAGAAATGGACCACGGGAAATGAATGGAGAGTGTTACGGAAATGGAATAAATGATTCCATAGAAGCACATCAAATCTTAGTATGGCCCAATAAAAATGTTGTTTTTCTTGGAAGGCTAATACAGAAACGCAATATTTGGAAATGAATCACTCAGTTTGGAAGCCATGTATGATGTACCATCCCAACTGTAATACATATGCAGATTTTAATCTCCCTTAGTTTATCTTGTTTATTGATAGTCTCTGGTGTTAGGGTAAACCTATAAGCTGATGCTATGCAAATATATGAATGATAAAGTAAACACACCACACACAAACGCAAAGAATTTAGCAAGGCTTGGCAACTTTGCCTACTCCACGTGTGATCCCCCATGAGAAATCACCAACACTATGGAGAATAATAAGTCGGTTACAAGAACTTACTGAAAACCCTTGTATTCTCTCTGATGTTCATGTGAATGAACAGCAAATGACAAGCTTATTTATAGTTCATAGACCAATGGTTACATGCCTTAACAGTATAGGATTCCTAAATCCCTTTAGAATAGGGAAAACTAACTTATTTCCCAATCCTAAACTGATTGGGATTACGAAGAAAAACCTATTTCACAATTCTTATGGGCAATAAGCTGTGCACTCTTTCTCAACACCAATTGGAATTTGGAAACCTAAACTTGTTTGGCCTTGGTATTTTGATGAGCCAAATCACAACAACATAATATAGCAAGAGCAAAGATATGATAAAAAACAAAATGATAAAATCAAATAGCAGAACTTCTAACCAAGGAATCTAGATATATTATCAAAATTCAAAGCCGTGGAAACCAAGACATCTAAATAAGAATATGCCAGCAAATTGGCTAAATTGCCCCAATTTAAATGCAGAAGCTATGACCATGTTTATGATTCCAGAAGCACCTAATTGACCATATTAACTTCCATAAAACACTAAAGCAGTTAAGCAAAAGGTGATCCTTGTAATAACATACCTGTAACAAGCTGGGAATAAGTCCTGCATAGAGAGCTGGGACGCCTCCATGTTCAACTATTTTAATACCAGTTGCCAAGGCACTCATTCTAGTTTCCTGGACTTGTAGTTGAAGCTGTCGCCTCACCACTTCAAACGGATATGTGGCAGCTTCTGCACAAGCACCAGAAATAGCTCCATATAGTAACGTCCGCATCGGTCCCAACTCCAGTTGATCCAAAGCACTCCAGCCCTGCCCCTGTTGGCTCATCTTGTGAATTCTTTTCCTTCCATCAGGTGAATGCAGGTATGCTGATTTTAATATATCGTAGACACCATAGAAAACTGCACCTGAAGGTGCCATGCTTGCAATGGAGGGTACTAAGCCCTTATAAAGGGAAAAGAACCCTTCAGTTTGGATCATGTGGCGAAAAGCACCAATCACACCACCCAAGGCTTCCCCACCAGGAGCCACCAACTGAGTCCGAATCTGAAACACACAACAGCTAAGTTAGATATAAGTCATTTCGGGGTTAGTTTTAGGTGATAGTGGATTAACTTTGAAGAACACAAACTCAATGCCGACATGATCCACAAAGTGCTTTGTTTACAGGTAGGAGATCTTTGTATCTCTTTAATTAGAAAGGCCAACCATAATTTTTTTCCCTTAAAAAATAATCTAAGCATCAAAAGGAAGACCTTGTTTTCAATATGCAAAAGAAACCCTCTATTTATGCAATACCATACCCCAAATCCAAATCAATTTACGCTTCACCACAGCAAATATCACAGTGGCATTAGCCGTGTAGAGTGGGCATACAGATACAATACAACCTTCAGCAGGCAAGGGACTCCATACAGCATCTTAATTGCGGATTTTTATGAGTTTTCTTCAGGGAATTTGACACGTCAAATACTTTTAAAAGATCCACAACGCCCAATTTTATGCATAAGCCTGAATTAATGCTACATAGCAGAATTTATGAAAAGGATGTTGAGATTCATATTATTGCTATAGTGCCGTGCTACAGGTACTATCTTGGACCTGAGATGACAATAGCTTGCATATTCAAAGATATAACTCATATACCTAAAGGAAGTATGTTCTTCCCCTTTAATAAAGTGTATTCGAAAAGAAGAAATGACCAACATTTCCCAAGTAAATCATACGTTAGATACCTTCGCTAAACACTCCCAATTACGTGTACTTTCTATTGGCTTAGGTTATGGAAGGGAAAAGAAGAAACTATATCATTTACCTGTATCACCACATTTCGGAATTAAACAGATACTTGAATTTATATATCAACCTGGAAGAATAACCACTTTTCAGCTAGTGATTGGTCAAATGGCCAAATTCGAAACTATCACTTACCGTATCAAGAGGTAAGCAGAGTATGGTAGCAGTAATTCCGGCTGCAGCACCAGCAACAAATCTTTCAAAATTTGTAGTCTCCTTATTTCCGGAGAAGCAGAGCAATTGTTTTCTGTAAGTATCATAAGCATAGAAATTGATTGCTTTAAATGGAGCTGTACGAAGAATATTGACTAGGTTCCCCTTCCAAAAGCCCCTCAAGCCCTGATTCGCCGCAATGGTCCTAACTAGCTCAAATAAATGCCTCTGTTCGCCGCGAACTATGTACTCCAGCTTTAGTCTCTCAAGAGGTGCCACAAAAGTTCTGATACAATAACCTTCAGTCAGCAACATATAAGGCACTAAATCGCAGTTAACGAAAAAGAAACTCCAAAGTTCGATATGATAATCTCTAAAACCACATTGTAAATGAAACATAAAATTCCCATTCTTCGAATTTCGATTGACGTGTTTTGTTCAATTCATAAAATTCCCATTCAAAATAAAGTAATGGGAAAATCAACTTACTTAAATTAACAGTTTATGCAATCAACCGAAATAATTCTTGGGAAAATCAATTCCATAATTTTTCTAAACAATATACATTAAGAATTACAAATTACTCAAATTACCCAAAAAGAAATTGAATGAAAAATATGAAGAAAAGGTAAAGAACATAGACCTGGAAACCATGGCGGCTATCGCACCAGCCCACAAATGCTTGGTGGTATTCATGGCCCCACCACTCCTAACCCCAACTTTCTCTCTCTTCCTCTCTGTAACCGCCGCCTCCACCTCCGCCTCCTCCGAACCCTCATCTCCGTTCTGCACCAAACACCCTTTGGACTCCCGAACAACCCCATCGCTACTCAAGCTCACCGAAAAGAACCCACCGCCGGCCACCGCTCTCAGCCTACAACCGTACGACAAACCCGAGCCGGAAACGACAGCCGAAGACCGAGAGTTCTTCTGAAAGGACACGACGGAATTGAGCAGGGAATTGGGAACCGTGGGTTCCAAGAACAGGCCGCCGGTGATGAAAAGGGTGGGATTTGGGTCGTCCATTTGGTTAGGTGTGGGAATGGGATTGGATTTGGAGGGTGTGAACGGTGGTGTAGTCAGAGTGAGGCGGGAATGGGATTGGGGGATTGGAGGAGAGTAGGCGGGGGGAATGGGATAGGAATGGGGATGGGAAGAAGGATTGAGGAAAATAAGGGCGGATCCGGTAGCAGCAGCTTTGCTTCCATCGCCAAACATGAAACATGCATGGTATAAAATCCAGTTCCCTCCTACGGACAATGGTTAAAATTTCTCACTCCGCGCACAGTCAAGTCGGTTTCCTTGTTTAGTCAATTTCTTACCTTACATTTTTTATTTGTCTGAACGTTACGATGTTTTATTTTTTTGGTAAACTAGAAATATCATTCCAGGCAAAGGCCAATAAAGTACAAGGAGCTAATATACACAAAAGGCCGAAGCAAAGGCTAAAGCCCAACAACACAGACACACCAAAAGAGAACCCTATCCCTCTGCTACAGCCGCCTCTGCAGCACCGCACGGATAGCAGGAACCAGGTACACCAACGTACGCCAAAGTTCCTTTCAATCAACACCTCATAGATGAGAGGAGGGAAGACCCCAGGATCCATCAACGAAACCCGCACTGAACTCAGCCACCAAGGAGCCAAAAACAAAGAAGCCTGTGAGAAACCCACAAGCAACACTACCAATAAAGGCAGACCAGGAGAAGGAGGTGGTACGAACACCCGAGCCGATATGCAAATCGGAGCTCGACACACCTTCTCGATGGACCGTGACAGACCACGGTGAACAGTGACTGCAGACCGAATATAGGGATAAATTGATGAAGGATGGAGCCAAATCGAAAAGAAAAGAGATCGGATTTATGGTGGATGTATGAGGGACATGAAGATGGAGGGAGGGATTGGATGGATCTGAGGAAATAATTGAGTAGGAATAATGGATGCATAGGTCACGCTGATCATGGAGGATAGCAGGGGAAGAACTGTAACAGAAAAGAAGGGAAGGAAGAGCAAAAAGAAAAAGAAAAGTGCAACCACTGACCCTAGCCATAGCTAGGATCGGCGGCCAAACGGAAAATCCAAGGGCAAAACTTCACACAATAGGTGAGAAGGAGTCTCAAAAAAAGAGGAAAAACTCTACCGACTCGGGAGAGAACTTTTTTGAACGTTACAATTTGGACAGTAAAAATTTCAAGTTTAAATCCTTAAAACTCCTCAATCTTTTACATTGTTTCAAATTAGTCTCAACATATTTAGACATTTTAACTAAGTATCTTATTTATTGAAAATATTATATTCATTAAGCCCCAATTAATTTTCTCATTAAATATACATGTAGCAACAATGACTCCCACTTTTTAATGTACATAAACACTAAACACTAAGAATCCCAAGATTACAGGGTATATAAAAAAAAGTCAACAAGTTCGACACTGGTCAAACCAAACTCATCGATCGGCTACCAAGCGCTCTGCCAGGAAGCGCTCCTCCAGGCACAACTCGCTCGCCTAGGTTCTCCCTCCCAACCTCACTATCAAGGTACGCAGAATCGAAATCGAACTGAATTGAATGCGAATCCAGCGGGTTGATTGCATAATTTGTTCGGGTTTTGGGGCATGTGAAATTTGAAGATTTGATAGTCGCATTTTGGTTGCGTTTTGAAAATTTAATAGTTTCAATTTGATAGTTACATTTTGGCTATCTGTAGCCGCCACCACGCCATCATATCCACTTGGGTAGAGACAAGGAACCAAAGTAGGAAGCAGAGAGAGAGGCAGAGTATCATTGGCTCTAATCGGTGGTCGCGTAGTAGCTCTCCTTTGCTGTTGCTGCTTCGAATTAGTAATTTCAAACGAACAAGAGGAGAGAGTCCCCGTTTGGAACATATAATGCCTGCGGTACAGTTTCAGTACTACAAAAAATCCAAGTCTAACTGCAGTCTTCTTGTGTTAAATTGATCCAAATTTCTTTCTAAATATACAACGGATTGCACCATCCTCCGTCGTCACTCGCCGGGTTCCAATTTGGAGGGCAACTGTTGGTTGCTATCAAGGAAGAAAATATCGGTAATATCGGAAATATCGGTAGTCCGAAAACACGGAAATATCGATGGAAATATCGGGATAATATCGATATCGATAAAAATTACATGGAAACCACGGAAATTGTAAGAAAAACTTGGAAATTTTTAATGAAACTTTGTAGGATGTTTATTTAGTCAATTATCTATTAGTTTATCACAAAAAATTGGAAGGAAATGCATTGCATGATGGATTTAACTGATTTAAGTTGATTACATAGCGAGCTGGCAAACATTGTGAGTGTAGAAAATATGTAGTAATTAATGAAAGAAGTTTAAACACACCATAATCATTTATATATAATTAATTAGTACAATATTTGGAGGTTTTATTTAGGATATTAAAAAAAAAAAAAAGGGAAGTGAATAAAATGATGAAGAATAATGTGCCGAATTTGACAATTTAAATTTCTTACACATAAGCATGCGTCTAGGCGTTGAAGTTCCAAATTATAGTATATCAATTAACGATTGAAAATCAATACATTGAATAAGATTAAACTTTAATTTGGATGCCGATTATGTTTTTTCAACTTGATATAAAGTAAAAGTATTGAATTTTGGAAGCTAGGAGTGTGTCAATTGAATTTTGGCTGACGTGCAAGGTATCAATCTCTTCGTCTCTTCGAGGGCTACAACTTTCCTTTTTGTTTCACTCAATTTCGTTGCGTATTGAAAAAGTTATACTCATTTGAATCTTACCCAGTTTCCGGCGACCTCAGTAGATTTCGAGGCAATTTCCGGCCAAACCACAACGAGTCAGACGTCGTGTGAGGTACCATTCTCTTCGCCTCTTCGAGGGCTACAACCTTCCTTTTTATTTCACTCAATTTCGTTGCGTATTGAAAAAGTTATACTCATTTGAATCTTACCCAGTTTCCGACGACCTCAGCGACCTCAGTGACTTTCGAGGCATTTTCCGGCCAAATCACTACGATTCAGACATCGTGTGAGGTACCATTCTCTTAGTCTCTTCGAGGGCTACAACTTTCCTTTTTGTTTCACTCAATTTCGTTGCGTATTGAAAAAGTTATACTCATTTGAATCTTACCCAGTTTCCGACGACCTCAGCGACCTCAGTGACTTTCGAGGCATTTTCCGGCCAAACCACTACGATTCAGACATCGTGTGAGGTACCATTCTCTTCGTCTCTTCGAGGGCTACAACTTTCCTTTTTGTTTCACTCAATTTCGTTGCGTATTGAAAAAGTTATACTCATTTGAATCTTACCCAGTTTCCGACGACCTCAGCGACTTCAGTGACTTTCGAGGAATTTTACGGCCAAACCATTACGATTCAGACATCGTGTGAGGTACCATTCTCTTCCTCTCTTCGAAGGCTACAACTTTCGTTTTTGTCTTGCTTGATTTCGCTGAGTTTTGACAAAGTTATGGCCGTTTAAAGTGGGTGTAAAATTTCGGCCGAAATTTTGATTTTTTCCCCCATTGGCGAGTCCCACATCGCCCATGCAAGGAAGTGAGCAATGAATTTTTCCTATAAAACTCACACTCCCCATGTGAGATAACCAAAACTTGTTTGGCCTTTGGGTCATGATCAAGTTAACTATGTGTTGAGTTTTTTTAACATATTTAAGTATTTTTTTAATAAAATATTGTTGATATTGTCGATAATTTTGAAAATATCGTGATAATATTGTGATATTTTAACGAAAATAGGTTGGATAGTTAAAAAAATTTCGGAACTTAAAAAAAACGATAATATCGGCGATATTGTGCCGATATTATTGATTTTTTCTTTCTTGGTTGCTATAACACGAAGAGTTGGCTACCGGGCTTGCACCATTCGCAACATGCACCGCAAGAATGTCGATTATGCATTGCTCAATGGTACTGTCTCAAGGCCATAGCCTTCTTGAACCACATCATGGTAGCCACAAGCTCCACCTATTAAGAATGTTTGTTATGATCCTAATATCCTATCTATTGGATCGTACTTGTGTCCAAAACCATGACGTTTCAGAATGATTTGTTGTCCATGAAGCACTTTCTAAGTACTTTTTTAGAAAGCACGCTTGGATTTTTAATAAAAATTTCAAGTTGAATCCACTAAAAGAACTTCTAGCAAAAGTACTTATGAGTGTTCAATCACAAACAAGGCCTTAGGTCTTTTGGGTTGTTTAAAGTATGTCAATTCTCGTATTGAATGTTATGGAGCCACCATCATAGAATGTGGCGTGAGCACGCTTCCAAGGCCCGGCGGGGTGAAACTTGGCTTATGGTGCTTGCGGAGAAGTCCGAGCTGCCCACAGTTACCGGCACCGACATGGTCGGTAAGTAGAAGAATGAGCAGCTGAACCCAAGAAAGCTCGCAAATTGGACAATGTCATAGTGTAATTAGCACTCACTCATATTGACGTGGTAACTATATAGTACAGGACTCTAGTGGTTTTAGACTTAGTTGCGATTATTCCGGTGGTTATATTTCATCTCTTCAACAAGTTTAGTAATGAGCATAACAGCCCAATGACAGCTATTACAAATAGTACTACACTCTTGATCGTGAAATATCGATTGCTTGTTGAATTTGTTGCATTGGTTGTTAATTTGAGCCACTGGCATTTGGTGAATCAATTTGAATTAGTTGTTAATCAGTTGAATTTCTCGCATGCAGGCAATTTGTGAGCTGTCATTTTTGACGGCTGAGATAGGCTATACATTATAGTTTGAGGATTTGTCCATTTTACATTTGATTAATCTACACAGCAAAATTGTCATAATAATGTAAATATCAAACTCATCTAAACAGACTAAATTATTCAAACTCAAGACCTTTCAATTACGAAAATAACTTATATAACACGAGTATACCATTACTGTGGTGTTTTATGCCAATAATATATGTAAAAAAATTTGTATCATGATGATGCTAAACACCGATTTTTACTTCTCAAACATTTTTTTTCAATTTTTAACTATCTGATTGAATAAATTGAAACAGATCAATAGAAAAAAATTAACAAAAATGTATAAATAAAAAAAGTATATGAACAGCACCACCCTTAAATAGTAGGCACTGACACATCACAGTAACAGACTAATACTAATTTCATTAACAAACCCCACCAAATTAACAAACCAAAAGAAACTAAAAATTCAATAAAATTAATGAAAAATTAGGAACAATCAGCTTTCCCGCCGCTAATTATTTACTTGTTTTCTACTGCAACTCCATTTTTCCACAGAGGAAAGAGCAATTACGAAGCTCCAGCTTCGAACGCGAGCATGAAAAGGAAAACGGAAACTGCAAATAGCAACGCAAGAAGAAGGAGCTCCAGAAAGCCGAAGATCTTGATCCTCTTGTTCCTGAGTCGCTCCCTCGCAACCTCCACTTTCAGATCTCCGATCTCCTTCTTCATCTCCTTCTCCTGATCATCAAATTTCAAAATTCCGATCAAAATTGTGATTGCTAATACGAAATTACGTAGTAACGAGTTAGAGATGACGCAAATACGTACGGCAATGTCGTCATCGTCGTCGACTGCAGTGTCGCGGCGGCGAGCGGGCGATGATTTGAGCGAAGAGAGAAGAAGCGCGGCTTTTGCACAGCGAATTGCGACATCCGATCTCAGAGCTCCGCCGCCTCCGTTTTTTTTTTATGTTCTTTCCTGCTGCTCCCTCCATAGCTCTCTCTCTCTATCGATCGATCGATCGATCGAATTCTGCTTCACTTTTTGTGTATGTGTTTATGAATTGAAATTTTGAGTTTTTAAATATTTTGGAATCCCGCTCTTCACAATCACAAGTGTCGTTGCCACGTCATCACGACGAACCAATTCAGGTCCCAATTCCGTATAAACTGGGCAGGTGGGCCACAATTATCCGTATAATCCAGTTTCCTAGAGAAATTAGGAAGCGAATCCCCTCCCGACCCAAAGTAACTGAGCTCAATGATCAAATGGTTCGAGTCATTCAAATTTAAACCAACGGTTACAATTATTATAACTTTTAGAAAGTCTTATGTTTGTAGTCGTTGAATCAAATTTCAATAATCCGGATCATTTGATGAGTGAGTTCAATTCTTTTAAATTCGAAGAGGATCGGTTACGATAAATTAAAGAAAATTGATGATTCATTTATTTAAAAAAGTCCCAAAAATTCAGTAGTACTCAAAAGACTTTTTCATGCAACATTTATAAACAAACTCATAATAAAATAAAAAAAAATCTTTTACCCAATACTAATACACTGCCTCACAACAAGGATTGCCCGAAATATAGAGACGATCAAAAGAATCGAATCTAAGACCTTTCACTTATAAGTGAAGTAGAATATCACTAGACCGTAATACTAAGTGACAAATAATGTTTATAACTTATAAAATTGTACCACATAGAGTGTCCATAGAGCAATTCAAAGAACCGAATAGATTTCCCTTAGTCTGGTACCAAAATATTGGTTATTCTTTGATGAAAACAACCAATTTGATAAATGTCAATGTCCTTATTCATTCTTGCATGTGGTCGAATATTCTAGTGGATGAGGTGTTGAGTTTCAAGTCATGCATTCCGGATTCCAAACTCCTAATTTCAAAGCATGAAAAAAAAATACCACTTTAAGCCAGTCTCTTAAATCATAAAAGCTTGGTTAAGTTTAGACATTAAGAGTCAAGCTTTAGTACTTGAATTATAAAACCAAGAGGTTAAACACTAATTAAGCCCTAATCCTTTAAATTGACCCAAACAATAAACAAACAACAATACAATAATTGGTGGCAGAATCTTAGTCATAGTTTGGTTTAAACTTATAAATGAGTTGAATTAGCATTCAAGCTTAATAAACTTTATAGTAAACCCTAGATCACTATATTTCACGGTCTTATCGTATATGAAAAAGACTTGCAAAAAATTAATAAGTTGTTCTTAAAAATTGGATGGTATCTGATAATTACAACAAACAATATATATACACGAAATTATGTGTAAAATATTCTACGTGGCACTCTAAAAATATCATTATACACTCCTTATAAAGTGTATTTTTATTTTTAAATAAAAAGTTTGAAAGTCAAAATAAGAATTTTGGAGTGTCAATATAAACTAACTAGCAATTGTACACATGCTATACATGTGCTTATTAAAAATTTGAAAATATAAAAATATAAAATTGGTTGCTAGACAATCTTCAAATGATTTTTTGTCATTGAAGAGACTGTTCATATATTTTTATCGATTGTTTTTTAATAACTATTTCGCCACTAAAATTTTAGTTTATTTAGGAGAAAATCATGGAAAAGAAAATGAGGGCAACTGATATAGCAACGTGACTATGAGGCTTAAATTAAACAGTAAAATTATTTTATGATTTTATGATTAGTTATTATATTCCCATAGCTTTTATTTTTGGTTATTTTTCTTTAGTTTTGTTGACAAGGTTAATTTGATTTTTTCACCATTTTTTTGTTTACAAGGACAATTTTGTTAATAAGCCGTTTAGATAAGTTCGACGAAGTGGGTAACTACAATGAAGAATACATACAACTATACCACTGTAACATTTTCTGTATTGTCCAAAAATTCATCAGAGGTTACTAACTTAACCTAATAGAACATAATTCATTAGGCAAACTACTACGAATACACGAAACTTTTTTCTTAGTATACATTACCATGATTCATTTAATTTTTGTCGCAAAACCTAAGAAATGATGGTTTGAAAATTCCTTTTAAGTACCTACAACGCTAAATTATTTGTAAGGTGAAAAACACCAATAAATCAAACTCGATTTAAGAAGTAACTACAACGAAGGACACACAAGATTATTTGTATAGGAAAAAAATAATAAATCGGATTTGACTTAAGAAGTAACTACAAGTACAAGTAAGAAAATTTTGGCTAATGAAACTACAAAATTATCATTCCAATTTTATTTTTTTCATTTCGCAGTTCAACTAATTTCTTTACGACACAAAAGAAAATTTATTTCTTAATTTTACTAAAATAAAAATAAAATCATTTTTTCCTTTCCTATCAATTTTCATTCATAATTTGTTGCAGATAAAAAATAGCGGTAAGACACAAAAAACAAATACTCCCTCTCACTGACTATTTACATATAAATATTTGATAAAAAAAAAAATATAATTAGAGCAGAGAGAGAGGCCTCTCCATCTTCCTCCGCGTAAAACCTCTGATAAAACCCCCAAAACCCCATTAATTTTTCTCTCACAAAGCTTCAATCTTTTGCTTAAAAGAGATCAAAAATCCCATTTTCCGCAAAACCCACCTCCCATTCTGCGCCAAAATCCCATTTTTTCTGGTAATGCCATTTGGGTTTCAATGGCTCAAGAATCTGGGTCGTCTGAGTCCCCCAATTGGAGACTCATTCTGGATTTTCCTTCAAATGCTCCTGTGTTCGGCTGCAGATTCCAGCCCTACATTCGTGTGGTCACACCCAAAGGCTCTTTTCAATTCCCGCCTCACGAGAATTCTTGCACCTGGTTAGCCTCTCTCTCTCGCTCTCTTAATCTTTCTGGGTTTTAATTTCTTGATGAATGTATGAATATATTCTTGTTTCTTCATGTGGGTTTTAATCACAATGCATGGCTTGTAAGTGGGGTTTTTATTAAACTTTTGGTTGCTAAAGAAACAGAGGTTTTTTGTTTAGTGAATTTTTGGTGAAATTTAGTCCCAATAAGGACAAGTAGGATTTTTGGTCCTAATTTGGAGAGTTGGGTTTTGGTTTCTTGAACCAAAATCAAGTTTTACATTCTTCTTTTTGCTCAAAGCAATCAAAATTACTTCTTGTAATAAAATTTCTGTTTTATTTCTTATGAAATGGGTAATTCTAGTCAATATTATTGCTCTGTTTTTTGGCTGAGAAAAATGGCTTCATTTGTCCAAGTGTATTTCTCTGTTTTTTGGCTGAGAAAAATGGCTTCATTTGTCCAAGTGTATTTCTAAATCTGTAAGAAATAAATAAATAAATGAAAAGTTGATGCTTTTTATGTTTATTTATTTTTATTTTGCTTCCTTAAAGGTAGGCGCTTGTAAGAGGCTTCATGAAATTTTGTTTCCCTAAAATAATGATATATAATTATAATTAAAGAGATGGTTTTTTTTTTCCTTATTTATTCAAATTTCAGACACTTAGGCATACCAATGAATAATTATAGCAGTAATTATGATCAACATAAATAAAAGTTACAGCAATAATAAAAATATTAACAATATAGTGAAAACAAAATAACAATACGGAACAAGAAAGGATAATAACTTGGTAATAAAAAAAACCAATACAGTAATAACTTGGTAATAACAATAATTTTGTTGTAGCCAAAATACGTTCACATGCAAATGAAGTAGAAGACGGTTTATTATATAGAAAAAAAAAATGGAATTTTTCGTGCATCCAAAGTGTTGAAATTGTTGTACTACAGCAACTTATTGTTGAATCGCAGAACCTGCTATGGCGGGTTCCTGTTCAGTACTCGTTCCAGTATACGGTAGCACTGCTGTTATCATGAGCAGTCTTACTAAAATCTCTCATTATTATATATTGTAGGTACCGAGAGAATGTTTGCTCGTCTTCCAATCAAGAGAAGGTTCGCTGTTTTGTCCACCATGACAAGCTGTCCACAATTCAGTGTAGAGTTTGTGTAGGTCAAAATCGACATACCAAGATAAGTTACTATTGCTCTAACACTTGTTATATGGCTGCCTGGAACAAGCACAAGTTGCACCATCATTTTGCAGATCCTGATCCACAAGCAGTGAAAATCATCAAGAGTTTTGGGCCTTATGGCTCCTATCCTGATTTACCTGGCTATCCGGATGACGATTCACAACCTGATGAGGCGGTGGAACAAGATGGGAAAACATGGATTGAAATGGGACCTTGGGAATATTATGTACCCACGGAGCATGATATTGGATTTTGTCTGAGGCTAAAAGTTGAAGTTGTTGATTCTTCAACGCGTACACAATTGTGCCCAGCAAGAATCGAAGTGACAGATCCTGTGATTTATCCTCCTCCTCATCCACCGCGTTGTACAATGTGGAACTCTTGCATCGCTGACCTCAAAGAACACTCTTCTAACGATGTAACATTTAGGGTGCTGTCCTATAATATTCTCGCTGATTATCTTGCTACTAGTGGTAGTAACCGGCACGATTACTGCCCAGATTGGGCTCTTTCATGGGCATATCGTCAGCAAAATTTACTTTATGAGATCATTGACTATGACGCAGATATCTTATGTCTCCAAGAGGTAACTACTCTGTTCTTAAATGCATATGTTTTTACGAGATCATTGCCCAAGACCGTTTTATTTTTTATATTTTTCCTCATGTACGGGCAGGTACAGAAAGATCATTTTGAGAATTTCCTCAAACCTGAGTTGGCAAAATATGGATACTCGGTTGTATACAAGAAGAAAAAGACCGAGGTAAGGTGATATGGCCTGTTTAATAGAAATACATGCACTTCCAGGATTTACTGCTTAGAATAGTATCCCTTTGCCTAACGTATGCACCCTTGCAGCCACGGTTAGAATTGGTTAACATGGTGCTCTGGAATGTAGCTTCGCTTGTTTTTTCTGAGTTGTTACTTTATTGTCCTTGTAGTATACATTGTTGGCCCACCCCTTAAAAACTTAACCACTTGGAGTTCAATGCTTGTCTAACACGGTATGAGCCTGCGGTTTGAAACCTCCAATTCCTACTTTTTAGAGGAATTGCAAGGTGTATGGAACTTCGTATTAGTAGGTTGAAAGTCAAATTACAGGGCAACTGTGATAAAATTTGAGCTTGACCTATTTTGTTTATAGATAGAGTTGGTCTTGATTTTTTGTTCCCCAACATTAACCTGACTTGTAATAAAGCATTACTATACAGTATGAACTGCATCTGGAATAATTAACGTTTAAAAGTATATGAATTGTTAGATAAATATTGGTTTGCTTGCATAGCACTGTGATTGTAGGCATCAGCATTTGGTAAGTAGGTTGAGTTTCATACAGAATCCTGTATGAACAATGTCCTGCTACAAGGTGGGCCCGGTAAAAAGTCTGGTAAAAGGCCCTGTAGCCCTCTCATTTTCCTAGTTAATTGTGTCCACGAACTTTGACACATTAGTATGCCACCTTCCTATGGCCTTTTCATCAAAGACTTGGACAAAGCATCCTTGAGATTGTTCAATATAAGTTTTTAGGTAACAGGATGTCAGTTCTATGTAACTTGCTGATACTCAAAAATCTAAATACAATTTTTAAGACATCCAATTCATTCGCCCAGGTAATATTGATTTTTGCATTGCTTTCCGTTACAAATAATGAAATTAATATTTTAAAAATATAAGTTTTGTGCATTTGAATTCTTAATCATATTAATTACCTCCCTACCCAAATGTTCTGTGCAATGTGCATTCTGATTTCTGCACCAATTTGTTGATATATAAATTCTTCTAGAAAAGTGGGAGCATATCTTTTGCTTTATGTGGTCTAACGACAATCACTTAACCGAAAATGCTTGATGGCATTATATCATGGTAATATGAGTTTAATGGATGTCTTTCAGATATTTACGTTTAAGTCCCAGCTTACAGTTGATGGATGTGCTACATTTTACCGTGATCAACGCTTCAAAGAAATTGCAACATATGAGGTGAGGAAGTTCTCGCTTGTACTTACCACGAAAATGGAGAAAAAGCAAGGAAATCTATCTATGTGAATATATGCATGCTGGAGGTATTTAATGGTTCTGGTTTTCTTTGCAGCTTGAGTTTAATAATTCAGCAAAGCCCTTTGTAGATTCATTGGATGGTGAACAGAAAAAAGAAGCTCTCCGTCTGTTGAAGGTTTACATCTCTAGACTCTCGTATAGTTTTTACTCTTCACTATGTTCTAGTGGCTTTTGTTTCTGCTTCACAACTGTTTGTTATATCAGCTTCTTGTACTCGATTTTGTAGGACAATGTTGCACTTGTTGTTATATTAGAAATGGTGGAAAATGAGGGCTCTTCTGATGGCAATCGACCTAGAATTTGTGTGGTAGTATGTCTATTTCAAATTATACAGCCTTATATCATAAATCCTCGAGTGCTGACTGCTGACACAGTTGTCCCTTTTGACCATAGGCAAATACCCATATACATGCAAATGTACAAAATCCAGACATTAAATTGTTCCAGGTACAGTGTGTAAAATGAAACTCTTCCTTCTACTAGTTTTGAGTTTAAAAAGCAGAATTGACTCGCTTCTTTTCTGGTACAAGGTTGTAACCCTCATCCATGCACTTGAGAAAATTGCCGAGTTGAAGATTCCCCTGCTGATTTGTGCAGATTTGAACTCTCTGCCTCAGAGGTTAACCTTCTGCTACTGCTACTGATTGGCTTCTGAGACTATGATGGAAGAATTGCTACAGTCCCTGATTTTCCATTTACGATTTTTTGCACTCATTGATTGATTCCATTTTTCTCTTGAACTAATATATCCAATTGGATATATTAATTATTATCCTAACAAACCAAACCTCCTCTTTCCATATATTTCTCTTCTTAACTTTGGCGACTATTTATTTCTACTTGGGATGATAAATGAAGGTTAGACTGATATTCACACTCAACATTGCAGTGATCCTTATATGTTCATAAGCAAGGCCAGAGTTGAGATTCTTCCCATCAAGGAAACTGATAAATCGGGCATATTGCAGACACTCAAGCTTTCTCATCCATTGAATCTGGTAAGGCCAATGTATCCCTTAATTCCCTACTGACCAATTCTCTGCTCCTTTTTTAATCTCAGCTCCTACTGAACAATGTATCCCAACCCGCACCTCTAAAGCTGGTTGAGGTTCTGAACATCTTGCAAGAATTTGAATTCTGCAGAGCTTATCGTTTTTGTGATCATTTTAAAGCGCTGAAAAGTTGTTCTTTTCTTTTCCAGGTAAGTGCATATGCAACTTTTTTTCAGTCTGATGGGGTCGAGGATCACCAACGTGAGAAGATGGATCCTGAAACCAGGGAGCCTTTGTTCACCAGCCACACACCATCCTTCTTTGGAACTTTAGATTATATATTCTACACAGGTACCATTTGAGTTTTATAACGTATCTGATTTTTCTCTGCTAAAACTTTGAACAAAACGTGTATGATGAGTAATTGAAAGTTCAATATGAATCTGTATTAACAAATTATACTTTTGAAAGACCTCATAGGTTTCTGTCCACTACTTATATGTCTGTCACTTGAGAGTCGAGAGCTAGGTGCTTTCACTTTCTTTTTCTTTTTTTTTTCTTTCTAAGAGAGATCCAAGCATCTTAAGGAGGCTTAAATTATTTTCCAAAAGTATCCTTTCATGTATGATGTATGGCAAGTGCCTTCGCCCATGAGCGGTAGGTCTCGGGTTCGAGACTTGGGAGCAGCCTCTCCATAAAATAGGGGTAAGGCTAGCCGACATTCACCTCTCCCAGACCCTGCGTAAAGCGGGAGCCTTGTGCACTGGGTACGACTTTTTTTTTTTTATCCTTTCATGTATGTGTTGATTAAGTTCTACCAAAATACTGGGCTGATAGTCAGACAACTGTATCAGGAAAGTGGCATTGCATATAATAATATGCAATTGGATGTATAGGGTAAACTTATTTTTTGTTCTTTCTAAATTCAGTCACGAAACTTATAGGGTAAACTTTAGAAAAAGAATATTTTGACCTCCCAAGGTTGCTTATGTAGAACGATTCAGAAAGACGTTTCTAGCAATGACTATATCTAATTGGATGTATTTAAAATCTTGTGAAAGTTTCTTATCGGTTCATTCTATAGCAACGTGTATTTCTTTCTTATTGGCTTCCAAGGCATTGCAAATCTAACATTTTTGTTATAGTACATCATGGAATACATTACGAGAGTAATTGCATTTTCATAATGTATAAGCATACGGCATTGCTGTTTAGGCTTTCTGATGTATATAATTAACACCTTGTTCACATTCTGAATTTTGTTTTATTCATCGTTTTCGTTGACTGTATGTATAATGCTTTCCTGCAGCTGCTAGCTTGAGGCTTGACAGCGTATTGGAGCTTCTTGACAAAGAAGGTTACCTTCCATCTGCTAAATGGTCATCAGACCATATTGCCCTCATGGCAAGTTTTTCTCTTGAGACAAGCACTTACAATCGGAGCTCAGAACCTCTTCCAGAGAGCCTAGGGCAGCACCCAACATTTTTGCACAACAATAAAGTTTTACAGGAAAGCTGAAGATGATTGAGAGATTACTTAGTCCGATAATCAGTACGGAATGAATTCAAATTCTATACAAAACCCGCAGCTGGCAAAGTTGGTACTTGCATAGGATACATGAAAATACACAGAAGATTAAAGATTAGCATCGATCTCTACAGTTTCGTCGATTTAGGTCAAGATGTAGATACACAGAAGAAGATTAGACACAGAAGGGAAGATTAGCATTCAAATTTTCTTCCTTATACACAGTGACAATTCATCGTTTTTTTCTTTTCTAACATGGTAACTTTTCAGGGACCTCGTCTTTCTGTAAGATTGACTTGAATGCTGCTCTATAGTTGAACATTTTCCGTTTCTGGTAATTTTTACGATTCGTGTTTAGAATGTTCTTTCTCCTAATGGATATTAATGGATTTTTGGATATCGGACATGTTATGTTTTGACAGTGAATGATTAACCACTCCCGTGTTGATTTCATCTGATCAGGGGTTTTAATTTACATTTTTATGGTCTTTACCATGAAATTTTTTATTTTCTAGTGTCAGCTGGCTGCATGAGCAGCATTTGCTCTTGGTATTTTCTTTTTCCCAGAAGTTCATCAGTTTTGTAGTTGGCTATTTTTACTTTGATCTCACTATAAACCTCAATTACCTAAAAACATTTGGGTAAATCTTTTAGTTTAACTCCTCCAAAAAGTAAAAGGTCGCCCTTGTTAACAGTCGGGGAAACATGTGCGGTGAGATTTCATCAGAAATAAAAAGGCAAAAAGAATAAGAGATGCGTGTACTTATATGCTGACACCAGTTTCATCCTAACCATAATAATAATAATAATAAATAAACAACTATTATTATCACGCTGGAAGTTTAATTTTGCCTCATAAAAGTGTTTTTTTTCAAAATATAAAATATTCAGAATGCAGAATTAGAATTTTAGAGTGTTACCAATAATTCCGTAAAAAAAACTTATAATTCTATAAAATAATAATAAATGCGATGATGATACCTACGCCAGTAAATTGTAGACCTCCACTATAAATCGTCTTTAGTTTGCAACGGTTGATGGTTCGATCTCATCCAATATACTTATAAAGCAAAGAAATAAAATCCTTGAGACAGATTAAGAAAGGTAGAGCATTTATATATAATCAGTAGCAGACCATGATTACCGACACCCATGGTTTAAACAACTTTAGTAGTAGGATAATAAGCTTCATTTATATTTACATTAGGTAGAGAGGTCTCTCTCTCTCTCTCTCTCTCTCTCTCTCTCTCTCTCTCTCTATATATATATATATATATATATATATATTAGCACTCTTACCAGTCATTTTTCTAATAGAGGAGGAAGATGAAGCTATAAATTGACAGAAATTTAAACCCTCCAGGAAGAGTATAACACAGAATATATAATTAACTGTTAAATCATATGGCATGCCTTGTCTTAGTCTTAATTAGCAGAAGCTTAATTACTAGCTAATTAATTAACACATGAAGCTACTAGTACGCCTTGGCTTGAAATTGAATAGGTTTGGGGGGCTCTGATCAAGTTGGTGCATGTACTTGCAGTTAGGGCATGCAGGAGAAGACCTGCACAGCATCACCAGCATGTGGCACTTGATGCACACAGTGGCCACCATCTCCTGCTGCTGCTGATGGTGATGATCAACATGAAACCCTAAATTAATAGGGTTACTTTTTGTTGGTCTGTGGGGTTCCATGAACAAAGCACTGAAGTTGTGTGTTGATGAAATGTCTGAATTAGCGTTGGATTGATCACATGATCTTAGGTTGAGCTCCAGGTCGAGGCTCATGGGACGACGACGACGACGATGATGATCAGCAGCTGGACTAGTTGGTGGCTCAGGGCTCCTCCTTGGGTCCCTTGAAGTCTTCATCTGAGTCCTTGTGTTGTAAAAATGTATCTGCCCCGACTGCATGTACACGATCGATAAAAAAAATAGTTTCTATTTAGAAGTAAAATACTAAAAACTGAAATGGTTATCTAACGGTATGCTATCTTTGTTACTTATGTTTATATAATTGAAACATACACAACACACACACATATATAAAATATACCTGAATATCAAGGCATCTTTGCCACTCCAAAGGCAATGGAGTCTCAAGGTGAAGCTCGATATCAAACAAGGATTTCGGTGTGCTTTGTGGTACTTTCACACGTTTTTCGAAAAGTTGCTCCGTATGATCGTATGGATCGTCGTCCCATTTTCTTTTCTTGGATGAATTCTCAAAGTCTGGGATTGCCTTCTTTTGGATTGGAGAAAGAGGATGAGCTTGAAAAGAAACCATAGCTCTAGCTGATTCAATCACTCAAAGATAAGTAGTTATACTCTCTCTCTCTCTCTCTCTCTCTCTCTCTCTCTCTCTCTCTCTCTCTCTTACACAAGCACACACAGAGAGCTGAGAGCTGGGGAGAGTTGAGAGGTTGAGAGATCGAGTTGGATTGGATTATATGTCAAATGGTTGGGAAATTTTTTTGGTAGTTATATAGGCTGGTGGAGTTTGGCCACAACTGCAAGGGAGGATCTAAGGGGCAAAATTTGAAGGTACAACTAAAAGAAACCTGGCCTACGCATGCATGACGTGCATTCCAAGTTGGTTGTATTAACTCTGATTATTATAGCTGAGAGAGAGCTCCAAGCCAGCTCTCTATTAAAGCCTACGATGTGAAATTCTAACCAACTCAACTCCTTGGTCTAATACCCCCAACCCCCCTGATCCTGATGCCACCCTAACACACCCAACTATATAAATCTTAGCAATGCATTTGGTCTCCATGGACTGTATACTGTACAAGAAAAATAATATAACTTCTGCCATATGACAATACTATGCAACGCAACGATTCAGTTAAAATATGACATGTGTTCAAATTTGATTACCGATTTTTAAGTTTTTTTAAAAACATTTTAAAAGTCATAACTAGACTATATATTGTGAAACTCAATAGTGATATCGGGTAGGAGCAACTTCACATAAGTTTTTTATGTCTCGAATTTAGTGAGGTATGTTATCCAAGCCATGCATAAGCCACAATTAAAAGCTAAATGTACACCAAAGCCAAATTTTAGCAAAACTATTGCACCACTCAACATTGTCATGTGGCAAGAGCAACTCATGCTTTCAAGAGTAAGCGAATTAAGCTAGCCAAGCTAAAAGCCAAATGTACACCGAATGCCAAGTTTTAATTTGATTATCGTGCCACTTGGCATGCAAGAACAATCACGTAAGTTTTCAAGTCATCAAAATTCAAATAGAACTGCTATTAACACTTTAGAATAGTCTTTACCCAAAATTACTATAAATTTATGTTGCTGGAACTCATCCCAAGCTCAAACTACTGTAACAGCCGGATCTATCGGGTGATTGGGACAACCTCACAAGTTTTTGCATGTATCCAAAAATTAAGTTAGCTAAGCTAGCCAAGCTAGAAGCCAATTGTAGACCAAAGGTCAAGTATTTACTGGATTGTTACATAATCGTAGCAAGAACAATTTAACATATATAACTCATGTCCTGAAAAGTAAGCAACCTAAGCTAGCCAAATGTAAACCAAATGCCGAGTTTTAAGTGGAATGTTGAGACTCAACGCTGAAATGCAACATGAACAGTTTTGTAGATGTTTCTCTTGTTCTGAATATTAGAAGAGTACATGTAAGCACTCTAAAATAGTTATCATGCACTCTCCAAATCCTCCAATTCCATTTTCCCCTTGATTTCTATAAGAGAGAAATTAATAATAACTATTTTGAAGTGCTAAAAACACTTCGATTTCAATTGAAGGTGAGCTAAGCTAGCCAAGCTAGAAGCCAATAGTTGAAAACCAAATGGACACCAAATGCCAAGTTATGATTCTTATGAGAGAGCGGTGAGATGGGAAAGAGGAGGGAAGAGGTGTGTGAAGTGGCCATTAAATGAGAAGAGTCTGTATACAGTTGAAGGAAGGTCTTGAATATCTATGGATCATTAATATACACAATAACTCCAACTTCCCACAATTAGGTTACTCAAAGAAAAACAAAAACCTTTAAAGCTCTCAACACCCAAACTCCTCTCTCCCTCACACCCGTCAATAACCACATTCCTTGCCATAAGCCATGAAATTAATCACTGCAACTAATTAAATTTGCTTTTAAAGCTCTCAACACCATCGGCTATTTGTGTTTTTTTTTTATAGGGAAATCAATGATATATGAGAACTGCTAAGGAGATTTAAAAGTGGGACTCTCTGTCATTTCATGTTTTTGGCACATTATTTTATAATGTTGGCACCAAAATTGTCGTTAAATTGTAAGATAACAGAAAATCCATGAAGAGTCTCACTTTGAAAGAGTCTCCTTAACATTTCTTATGAAATATTGAAAGTATGAAAACTTGATCGTAGACATAGAGGATTAAGTGAGACAAACTACACATCAGGACCCGAATTGCGGTTGACCATCAACTTACACATTCTCCCGACTCAAAGCAATTGGAAGGAACCAGACCCTCGATAGAATGTCCCCGGTCCCCCTACGAACTTGAGCCAACACCATCGGCCATTATATCCGTCATGCCCCTTATTTTATTTCTTCATTCAATATTTATTTTATTTTTTTTCTTTGAAGTATATATCTTGCAATTCATGACCCTATCCATTTGCTCCTAAGATCAGAAACTCTATTTATTCTTGGACCAACAATCAGATACTTTTCTTTTAACTATTGTTTAAAATTTGTTTACATATTTGGTGAACATTGAATATTTTTATTGTAATCAATCTATCCATTAAACATTTAAGTATATAGCTCATGTACTATAAACCTCATGCATCAAAGGTTCATTGATGTCACTGACCTTATAGTGTGGTGGTACCTCTACCCTTATTAAATAGGTAGTTTTGAGTTCAACTTCTAATAGACTAGGCTGTTGAATCCCACTTTTAAGAGAATAAGTACCTAATATACTTATGTCCTTCATGAGAGGTATGTACATGGCACTGGTTCATCGCTACAGTAACATCACATTTCAATGAAAAAAAGATATATGTAAGTTTTTATCTTCATTGGCATGGGACGGCAACGATAATGCATCTGTACCATGTAAGTTTCTCTCGTATTTCACAATAACAAAACAATAAAAAAAATATGATAAAAAAAACTAAAACAGGATATCATAAAAATGATATATTTATTGAGTTTTCATCTAACTGCTGGTTCTTTATTATTTATTTTGCATTTTCTCTTCTACCTTGATTATATCTCGTGAATGTGATATAGATAGCAGAGTGCAATTTTGGGTCAGAATTGGAGTGAGTGGAAAGGGCAAAAGAAAAAAGAAATTGCAAGTTTTGTTGGGCAATAAGTTCCTTTGTTTGGGAAAGATCTAAGCATACTCATGAAGGATGAAGCCATAAGGGCATTGGAGAGGAGGGTGTGCTTAGAAAAAAAATCACCAATCAAGTATAAATTGGAGAGGGACCCTAAATAGACTAGACAACTAATGACATAAATACCAGGCCTGTTTATTGGTACTAGTCAAAAGAGCTAGGACACAAAAACTAGTTTTCCTAACAAAGGGGCATTTTTGTAAGGTAGCCACCAAATTGAAAACAAGAATGTAAGTGGAGAAAAGAAAAACTAGAAGAGAAATTATGATTGCAAGAATGTATAGTATTTGTGTTGAGTTTAAATTATGACTGATTCATTGTACGGCTTAGCCTAATTTTTTTTGTCATTTAGAATAGAATATTGTTGTATAAAAAATGAGTTGCTATTAGCACTCTAAAAAAGTCATCATGCACTCCAAATGTATAACAATACAAGGAAAATTTTGTATAAGGAGTGCTGTTGACATTTCCATAGTGCAAAGAACAACAACAAAAAAAATAAGGTAAGAGAAAATTCATGAGTATCTGTCTTTGAATTGCAGTTTTGATCTTAGAACTAAAAATTCATGAGTATTGGTGTTTGAATTGTCACAACATAAAGTAATGGTCATTTGGGGTAACTCCATTAGAACTTCTGTGTTACCCAAAAAATAATTAGGTTACTTCACATTATAATAAGTTCAAGGATCAATACTCCAAAAATTTTTAAGTTAGGGATCAAAGCTTCAATTAGGCAAAAGTTCGGAGACTAGTACCCTAGATTTATCAATAGATAATTACCAAAAGAATATATTTTTGAGAAAATCCTAAAGGGTCCCAAAGAGTATTAAAGGCTTTGAGGGAAGAGGGTTTCAAGTATTGTTCACCTGCCTTCATTAAATCATCTTGAATTCACTTAAATGCAGAATTCAAGGATGACCATCGAAACCACCCTCACTTACTTCGACACTCCTTTCTTTCGATCGTCACTCTCACCAGCACCAGCACCAGCACCAGCACTGGTTTTATTTCCTTCTGTTAAATGCTCCCAACCCACCTCTTCTTCCATTTATTTATACTCTCTCTCTCTCTCTCTCTCTCTCTCTCTCTCTCTCTCTGTGAAAATTTATTCATCAAGCTTCAATCAGTTTCCCCCATATAAGAATCAAGTGTCAGAATATCTACTCTCTTGTGTGTTCATAAATTCTAGAATTAATTTTCTTTTAATTAAAAAGAATGTTATTGCACTTATTTCTAGTGTCCTAGCAGGAAAATCCAGCTTCGGTACCGCATGAACTTAAGGAGGGAAAGAACCGACAATATTGCTTATATTCAACCGATTAATTTTATCGGTTCAACTTCAAAGTCACCAATTCTCTTCATAATTAATTGGACAAACGTATTTAACAACCATGCTCACCATCTTAAATGCTCACCATCTTAAAGTACCGAATGTAATGCATGAAAATCCTAATTCAACATTTGAAAACGTCCCATAGCAACTATATGAGATAAGCTCTATGGAACTGTGTTACGGGTTTCTTACGTATGTATCTCTCTTATAGTTTGTAATTGCATGAGACCATCTCCAAAGGAAATGTCAAATTATAAGAGTCAAATTATAATTGATGACTGATGTGGCAAGTAAATTGTCAAATGTTATTTTATTATTTAAATATAGTTTTAAATGATTGTAATTATTAAAAAAATGCTGAAATAAAATTTTTATTGATTGAAATGTTAGTAGAATAAGGGACCCACTATTAAAATGAATTAAAAATAAATTTAACATTGATGTCAAATTTGACATCAAATCACTAAGCCTTCAAATCCAGTCAACAAATAACACTTCAGTTGGAGAGACTTTTGAAATCAAATATACACAGTAGCATTCCACCTAGGATTTTGACATCTCCTTTGGAGATGCTTTGAGAACCCTAATTTAACTTTTGAAAGAGTCCCATAGCGACCATGAGACAAACTTTTATGCAACTATACATGTACACAGTTTTGATGTATTTCCCTCATCACGTGAATAATTGGTAAAGTGATATATACCGGTACTGGCAGAGCCAGTTAATGCCTAGGAAGGTTATATGACC